AAATGAAAAATTCACGTGGTGAATTGGGACGATGTGGCTAAACCTAAGCATTTGGGTGGGTTAGGGATTAGACAAACCCTCTTGGTAAATCAAGTTTGTATGGCCAATTTGAATTGGCATTTGGTAAATGAGAAAGATTCTATGTGGTCCAAAGTTCTTAGAGAAAAATACCATTGGAGGAGTTTAGCGAAACGTAGAAATCTCTTCAACAAGGGAACTAGAATCCTCATTAGAAATGTCTAACAAAAAATTTTGGTTTGTCAACTAGACTGGTTTAAGCCCCTTGCACAACTTGATGAAAGGACCTTTTTCCCTTGAGCAAAGAAATCTCAAAGTAAGAGATTGTTGGGTGGATAATGATTGGAACTTTGACAAGATTTCTCTCTCCATTCCTAGGGATATCCTAAGTCAAATCTAAACTATCACTCTTAGATGGTTTGGCGTAGAGGAAGACAGAGTCTCTTGAAACAATTCTCCTGACGGCATTTTCAACAATAAATTTGTATATGTGCTCGCTAAGAACTTCACCTCCACCCTCCCCTTTTCAAATTTGTCTTGGATTTGGAAGATCTCGAGTTGCCCATTTTTGTTGGCTAGTTATGCAACAACGTTTGAACACCAAAGACAAACACTTTTTCAGAAATGTGTGTCAACTTTGCAATTCCTTACTTGAAACAAACCTCCATTTTTTTTTATCAGCAAAGAAAATCTTTATTGATAAAGAAATCATACGTTACATATGAGATTACATCAATAAGGATGAGAAAGAACAAAGGAACAAAAAGGAGACCAAGTATAGTGTTGGTGAGAAACTAACACAAGACCACTAACACTTTTTGCCACCACCCAAAGACTAGCTTAACAATTGCGTATAACCCACTGAATGTTCCAGCTATGCTTACTTGTTGCCATCTTGCTTCCTTTTAGACCTATCCCTCCTATTTGGATCTCTCTTTGTCTTTTAGCTTTAGCTCAATAATCTTGTTCACAACATCATCTTCTTTCCTATTGAAATTGATGCCAAGAGATTTTCCTAATTGTATAATGGCTTTAGCTTCATTGAGGAGAACATTGTTCGGGCTAGTAACACCCTTAGACAGATCTGAACGTGCTAATGTAGCTGCTGCTGGTCTATAGATGACAGACTTAGAGGTGTGCTTACTGACTGCTGCAGCTTTATACCCATGAAGTCTAGCAAAGCTGGTGAACCCCTCTAGCTGAACCTTCTTCTTTCTTTTTTTCTTCTCATTCCGCAAGAGTTTTGAGATAGAAGCAGGTTACCTTACCAAGCCTGAATGATTTAGGCTCAGAAATCCCTTCCCATTTAAATTCTTACTAAGTGCTTGGGCCAAATCCACTTCAAGATTGATGCCATGCCCAAGTCCATCTTTAGATCCACTAAAGCTTCTGATAAAACCAGATGTAAAGACTTGTTCAACATTAATTTTTGGGTTGTGAACTAAATCTTCCATCATGGTCTCCTGACAACTGTGTGTTTACCTCATTTCCCAAATGACAATCACTAGGCCCTATCCTCTGTTCTACCTCTTTGGTACATGCTTCCTCTTCTCTACTAAAACCTCCATCCCACTTTAATTCCTCAACAACTGTGTTTACCTCTAACACACTTTTTACCTCCTTCTCTTTGTAACACTCCTTTGGAATCGTTTCTTCTACAACACTGCCATAGATTTCATTGGAGCTGCATTACGTGATTACATAACTGCCAAGAAATTCTAGGAAACTCTCCATATCCTCACCAAGCTTGTAACCTCGATATGATTGATTGGATCAAAACTAATTGCCTTTCAACTGAGCCTCATGTTCTTTCCATCCCGTGGTCTATAGTCTCTCCCCCGCGTGTTGAACCCAGTCCACTCAATATTCTCAAACCTTTACGGACCATTGCTAAGGCTACGAAATGGTACAATCTCTCTAATTTTTATCACTCTCACCTTTAGAATTCCATCATGCGATTGGAGGCCCCCATCCACCAATTTTTACAAACTCAACACTAATTGATCTGCAAATGGAAACCTTGCTGCAACAAGGATCTCCTTCGTGACAACCATGGTAATTAGGTCAAAGGGTTCTATAGAAACATAGGCAGAACATCTAGTCTTTTAGCTAAAATTTTGGGCCCTCAGAGATGGGCTTAAGCTAGTACTTGATTTTGATCTCACTCCCATTGATATCGAAATTGATGCCTTGGCTCTTGTTAGCCTACTAGGGAACAATGGCAATGAACTACACCATCTCAGCAATCTCATTCTTAATTGTAGGTTCCTGCTGGACTGCCTCGGATCTCTAACCATTAAGCACATCTTTAGAGAGACAAATAATAAACTATGGAATGTTCATGGTGGATGGCAATTTTCATGTTTTCTCCTCCCCTCACACCACCTGTATTTTTGGACTGTAATGAACAATGCTATGGGGATGTTATACCCCAGAACTTTGTACTAGTTTTAATCTATCTGTGAAGCCTTTTTTTACCCCCCCTTAAAAAAAAAAAAAAATAGTTGGAATGAAAGAGGTGAAAAATGAGACAATAAAAATAAAAAGAAAATCATTTTTTTCTACATTTGTTTAACATGAGAATGGTGAAATGTACAAGAGAATTAAATTTCTTAACATTATAACTTATCTTTCATTTTTTTTTTCAGAATAATGCTTGGGACCCTCTTTTGGGGGTCACCCCCTCACCCCCTTTGCCACGTGGCAGGTGGTGATTGGAAGAGCAGGAAAAAAAAGAAAAAGAAAAAGAAAAGATAACCAATGAGAGAAAGAGGGGGGTCAAAGAGGGGAGGAAAAGGGGGATGAATCATTACTCTTTTTTTCAAAAAAAAAAAAATGATTTCTTTCCTCATAATTATTATCTCGCTTTCAATTTCCTTTTTGGTAACTTTCTTGCAAAAATTTCCTTTTAATCAAATTCTACATTTGTTTAACATGAGAATGGTGAAATGTACAAGAGAGTTAAATTTCTTAACATTATAACTTATCTTTCATTTTTTTTTCAAAAAAAAAATATGATTTCTTTCCTCATAATTATTATCTCGCTTTCAATTTCCTTTTTGGTAACTTTCTTGCAAAAATTTCCTTTTAATCAAATTAATGCAAGATAATAAAGTTTGCTTAACCCTTTTAATCATTTTTACTTTTAATGATATTTTTTACCACCTAATCAATAGAAAAAGTAAAAGAAAAATCACCTATGAAACTTGTGCCATATAAAAATATTTTTTTGAATTATATTTTTTGAATTTTATTTGTAAAAAAATAAAGAAAAATTACAAATCAGTTGTAAAACTAAAAAAAATTGCAAAGTCATGAAAAAATTTATCACTTTAATTATTAAAGCCGATAAATTAAATCATTGATTTAAAATTTATTTTAAAAACATGCACTGAATTGTAATTTTTTAAATAAATAAATAAATGTACCAACCATGTACTCTGTTAATGATCACACAAACAACCAATTAGTTTTGTGTCTTCTACCAATGTCATTTCATTTAAAAAAAAAAAAATTGATTTATGAGCAATGGCAATCCTAAATTTTGTACAAATAAACAATTTATTGATAAGCAAAACACATTTTAATAATAAAAATGAATATGAAATTCAAAATACTTGTCTCCACAGCATAAACAATTCGAATTCAATATATATTTGGATTTTTTAAATTTTTTATTCCCACACGTGCCCACGATGTCCATTCAAATTCTAATGTTTTTTTAGGATTAGATTTTTTTAAGTTGGCCATCAAATTTGAGAAAGCATATAGGTTTAGTGGGCCTATTTTGGGATTGGCATCACTGATTTGAAACGTTCACCTTTTAAAACTCGTTAAGTATTATATTTGTAAAAAAATTTAAGAAGATTGAATATCGATAACTATATATTTGATGAATCACATTCGTTTTTTAAAAAATGAACAACAATTATAATTTCAAGAATAACCATACATTTTTGTAATACAAATGAGATTAAAACATATAATTATTGATATTTGATTATCTTAATTTTTTACATAAATATTCTATTCAACGAAAATTAGAAGGTGAATGGTTCAGATCACTAAAGTCGACCCCAAAATAAGTCTATCAACCCCAACATTATTCCAAGTTGAGATAACCAACTTGAGGGCATCCAAACCCATTTTTTAAGAATGTACACGGGTCGCATTGATCCGATTTTAGAGTAATTAAGGAACCTACGGTTCTAAATAAATTAGAACCGTAATTGAACCATCAAATTTGTGGAACCGAACCATAAATAGGAACCATAGAAACCGATTTAATTTACAGTTCTATAAATTTTATATAACAATAAATATAATATATATATATATATATTTTTTTTATGTTAACAAATTAGTTTGATTAAAATTTTACAATGAAATTAGTTTTCAAGTTTTATAAGAAATTTTTTATATTTAATTTTTATATATAAAAAAATATTAAACAAATATATTACGGTCCAATTCGGAACCAAGTCTTAGAATTGGGAAAGGGATTGATTTGAATGATGCCACAATTTCAAAATCAAAATCAAAACCGAAACTAATAAAAATTAGAACACATCAGTCATTTTTTTTACACCTCTATATTTTTTTTACTCTCTCAATTAGTAATAAATATTATAAATAAGCTCTTTTTTTTTATATTTTTTATTTTTGTTAGTTCACGAAAATGGTTGTATCAATCTAATAATTATAACGAAAATGTTTGGTGGCCCAAATTTTTGTTTCTCGAATGGCTCGAATATATTAAAATGACATCATTTTATACAAAAAAACGACGTCGTTTTGGATATTTCGAGCCATTTGAGTTATAATTTTTCTGGCCACCTAACATTATTGTAATTAAAATAGGATGATTTCATTATATTTATTTTTAAAAATAGATAAAAAAAAATAAAACTTTTATTAAATTAAAGAATTTTAATGCAAATAGGAGAGAAGTGATTTTAGCAAATAGGAGGACTCAAAGCAAAATTTTAAAATAGCCGTTTAATATTTGTATGTTTATTTATTTTTCAATGGACAAATCTACCATTATCTCTGTCACAAAGTATATTCCATGAATTCGTAAGAAATTTGAGAGAGAGGGAGAGAGAGAGAGAAGCAAAAGATATTTTCGGTGCGTTCCTTTTCCTTTTTGTTTTTTTTTGGCATTGAATTCGAAAATTAGGGTTTTGCTTTATACGTTTTACTTCAGATCAAATCAAAATTGTCATTCGATTCATCACGATCCCCTCGAATTACCGTTCATTATCTCCTGAATCTGATTCTCTCTATCTTTCTGAAATGTATTGGGTTTGTAGGGCTAAAATTGGATTCAAATCCAAGCCGATTGAAATCTGGATTTGAATTGCATTTCAAGGACATGCGTAGTTGATTTGAATTTCAGTTTTTCCATTCCATGTGAGTACATTTCACTTGGATCAGTAGATTTGGTTTAATTTCCTTTTGTCGAATTTCATGATCTGTTTTTGAATTGTTTGTTTGTAGAGCATTGATTATTAGATCTTGAAAATTGGCTCCTCAACGCCGATCACAGCGCCACATGGGTGGTCAGATGCAACAGAGCAATGCTGCGGCAGCTGCTCTGTATGATCACCCTGGCGGCGGCGGCTCCCTGCACAATGCAGGTCCCGGGAGCGATGCCGGTGATGCCGTCATGGCTCGCTGGCTCCAGTCCGCCGGGTTGCAGCATCTGGCTTCACCCTTGGCTTCCACAGGGATCGATCATCGCCTCCTACCTAACCTTCTCATGCAGGTAATTATAACATTGCCTCTACATTTTTATAATTCATTGCTATGCCCATTTGTTTTCTTCAATTTGAATTTTGTTGGAATTTGAATTTTATGACTGCTGGGTACTATACTTTATGATTGGCACTCCATAGTTCATTTTATTTTGATTCAGTAATGCCTGTTTCACTATATTTGTGCCAGACATTGTATGTTGAAAAAAAATGCGACTTATATGTATTGATATTAGAGCATTTGTATTTTGATTGCACTGCATTCTCTCTGCTGAAGTATTTATAGGATTCATTATGGTCAGTTAATGTGAATATGCATATCTCTCATGGTTTCCTTTGGTCTTTTGTTTGTTTATTTAAATCAATGTTACATTTTGAAACAAATGTTCCAAAACCTGGTACACTTTCGTTCAAAAGCCAGTAAAGTTAGCGATCTAAAGCTATCCCAAAAGTTTTACCTATGTCTTTCTTAAAGGTTTCTTTAGAGTGAAAAAATAATAATAAAAATAAAAAATCAAATATAATGAACTAAAACCTAAGGTGAATGGATTTTTGACATGACAAAAGTACAAAATAGGTTTTAATGCTCATAGAAGTGTATTGCTACATGATTAATTTAAATAAAATAATATATATATATATATATATATATATTTATTGGATGTTTGATTGTTAAAAGAAAATTACTCTACAAGCACTTTAAATTCTTATTGTGTAATGCAATCTATAGAAGTCTATTCATATTGTACCACGTTTTAGAGCATATGTCGTACCACACTCCCATTCCGTGCGCCAGGTAAAATAGGTTTAAATGTCATTTGGTCTTTTTTTATTCATGTATATTAGTGCAATTTTAATTTGAGATAGTGAGCAACTGTTTGAAGGGTTATGGAGCACAATCTGCTGAAGAGAAGCAAAGGCTTTTCAAGTTAATGAGAAACCTCAATTTTAATGGAGAATCTGGTTCTGAGCCATACCTTCCAACTGCCCAAAGTTCAGCCGCAATGGGTGCATCAGAAGGTTTTTATTCTCCCGACTTCAGGGGAGATTTTGGAGCGGGGCTTTTGGATCTTCATGCTATGGATGATACAGAGCTTCTATCTGAGGTATGGCAGTGCCTCCTGCATAAGGTGGTATTATTAGGTAATATTTGTCTAAATTGCATTAGATTTTTCTTCCTCTTTTGGTGTAAGAAATTTGCTTGCTTTGTCTTTTAGTAAAATGGGTTGATGAAAAATCAATTAGTCAATTTTTAACAGAGGTCTTTGATGTTTTTGATGTTTTCTCAGGGTTGTAATGTATCGGTATTAAATTTAAGTCATGTTTTGTTTCAAATTTAGTTCTTTGAGGATGCATAAGATGAGAATCATGTGATTTATAAATGACATATATGATTTGTGACGTTCTTTTTTCTTCTCAGGAACTGAAAATTATATTAACTGGGAAAAAGAAATTAGTCTGGACAGGCTAAAGTGATCCCAAAAACAGCCTTAATGAGAGTATTTGTGCATCCCCCTCTTAAGAACACATGAGCCATATCAGTCAGATGATTTTTAACTGGGTACATGAAAATTCATGTTGTCCATTATTAGACCTTTAATCACCCTGACCATGTGTTATAGGAAAAGATATTCTTAATATTGGTAATGCAAGGGTAGGTTTACTGACATTGACATAGGGAATGGTTCTTACTTATTCTTCCTTGGCAATGGATTTTCAAACTATTTCTTTCTTTCTGATATTGATTCTGGAAATTAAATTATAATTTGTCATAACTTCTAGGGGAGCAGTAATCCAGTTTTTGTATTTAATTTACATTCATGATTTCTATGGTACATCGATCAACATTGTTTAACCAGCATAGTTGGCCTTACTAGAGCTTCTAAATTCTAGATGGTTTCAAGTGGCACTTTAATTAACAAATCATCACTGACATATTCAGTTCTATTGTGGGTTCACTAAAGTCCAATATGTGTTAGCAATACAGTTCTAATTCAAGCCTTGGGTTTCATCCTCTCCTCTCTCGTACTTTGTGAGAAAACAAAATTTTATTGATGATGCGTTATAGTAGCTAGGGATGGACAAAAGTTGGTTTTCTTTTTTTAACACTGTTAGAAAATGTGTTTTGTTGCCAAAGCAAGGATTATAACTGTTTCTCTTTAATTTTATAACCAGATCATGTGTAAAAGAGGGTGATTGTAAACATTATTCTAGTTATTTGTCGGCGGATGAATATGGATTCTTGAGAATTTGAAAATGGTGGATCTGTAGTACCTCTCTTCAGTTTCTTCGACATGGTTTCTCAATGTTATCTGAGGAAATGGATGAGAATAATTTTTGCCACATTCACATGCTATTTTTGTGTAAATTACTGTTGGATATTTTTTGCCGTGGAGGTTTGCCGGGACTGGCACTATTATGCAGAGGAATTGGACGCAAGTTTTATATTATTATTGTATTTTCCTTGGTTAACTGAATTGTTTTGATTTCATTTTTCAGCATGTCATCTCAGAGCCGTTTGAGCCATCACCTTTTATGCCTGCTGTCACACAAGCATTTGACAATGACTTCAATGTGATGGCCAACAGGCAGGAGAGAGGGCAAACAGACGCTGATACCTCAGTTGGATTATCTAGTGAAAAGGAGAACAATACAAGGGAAAACAATGTGGCTAAGATAAAAGTTGTGGTATGTTGTTCTATTGGCTACGCCTGATCTTTCTCTAAATACGTGTATTCTGGTTATGAAATTGCTTTGATGGTTTCTTTTTCCTTAGTGGAATTTTCTTTGCTAGCAAGTTTAATCTTTGTGTTTTGTGCACCTTGATTTGTAGAGTCTTATTCCACATGCTGGATAAATATTTTGGTATATTGATAATGTTTTTTTTAATGTGTTAACTTGTTAGTTACACAAAATTTCTACTCTTGGGTTTCCTGAGTAGATAGATTTTGGAATCAACTTGTGACATTATCAATGATACTTTGTTAACAGAGTTACAAGAGTCAATGTGGGGCTCAAGAGAAAGGAAAAATTGAGGGGCTCAACAAAAACCCAGTGCAAAGAGAGATCTTATTAGTTGGCTTGGTTTAAAGGTGGTGCCAAGTTGGGACCTTGCATAATTAAGCTTTGATTTAATTATGTCCTAGTTTTTGTTTGCTTTAGGTTAATATGCTGTCAGTATGTATTTTCTTGTTATTGTGAAATTGTTTTAATAAATAAGTTATTCTGGTTGTTTTTTAATTTTCTCGTAGTGTTCTACAGTGGTGGTTTGTGGTCTTTTCTTGGGTTGTTATCTCATCGAGTCTTGTATGTGGAACTTTTTTGTGCGATGAAAAACAAGTATTAGACAAAATTTCCAGTAATTTTGCTCTTGAAGGATTGTTTAGTGTAATTCTAGGTCCAGGTCAACGGTGACTAAGGAACTCCATAAGTGATTTCTAGCATCCTTCTCTGTTTATTTTCTTCGTTCTTTCTTTTATTTTATGCAGTTGTTAACCTTTTAGGCCTAAAACTATAATTTGGTGACTGCTTTATACCCTTGAGGCAAATTCTATTTGACAAGAGCATTCTTGAGGTAGACAAACCATCATCTCTTGTTCCTGTTCACATCCCCAGGAACAGGGCCAAAAATTAGTAATTCCTTGGTCAATGTGACGGAAAATTCACATTATTATTTACTTTCTTGAACTTGTACTAGTCTAAAACATCATAAATTTGCTAAGTTTTATCCATAAATAAATAATTATAGTCAAGGTCAAAGTGTCTCTACTTCCAAACCTCCATCAATTGCAAATATTAGAGCTTGTAGGAAAGTAATTCACTTAAATTGTGAAGTAACCAATGCTAAAATATGTGACTTGGTAGCTCATCATTATCTTGAAACAGCATTGGGATGGTGTGGTAGACCATAGGTGGTGTTATAAATATTTTGTTTGCTTCGTCAATTGTAGCGTATAAAATATCAGCATAATTCTTCTTGGATAGCACCTTAGCATCTGCTTCCGAGGTTATTGCAGTATTGTAATCTTTGCACTTATTTGTAACACCACTAAACAGCTTTGTCATTTAATAAGTTATTAATAGGTTATTTTGGTGATATGCTTTTCTTTCTTGTTAAGGCCGATAACTATGAAGGAAATGCATTTTGTTATTACACAATCCTTTTTCAGAATAATTCAAAAGTTGACATGCATCCCAATTAATGTCACTAGGTTTCATATGAGTGCAAAAACAGTTGCATTGTTTTCTGGGAATTGTTCTCTTTTTCATGTTTAGGATGTCTTTGTATTAAATTTAGATTTCAACATATCTTTTGGGCTTAAATATTCTTATTCTTCTTTATGTAGTTTGCTTATGCAATGTGAATGTTGTTTCATTACTTTCTTATATGTTATGTGGCCTTTTCCTCTCATGACTCCTCCTGAGTCAATGACTGAAAGATATTTTATTAGTCTCCGAGAATTTATAAACTACGTACATTGTTGTTTGTGTCAGGTCCGTAAAAGACCATTAAACAAGAAGGAGATTGCTCGGAAGGAGGAGGACATCGTAGCTGTGTCTGACAATGCTTTTTTAACTGTCCATGAACCCAAGCTAAAGGTTTCGATATATTTCAGCTGCTGCAGAAGCACATAAATTTAATATTTATGCTGAATTTGATGTGGAAGGATTGATGCTAGCATTGAATTATATTTTTCAATTTTATGTTCTATTGGAGGAACTAAGTTTTGGCTTTGATATGAAAGGTGGACCTGACTGCTTACGTGGAGAAGCATGAATTCTGTTTCGATGCTGTTCTAGATGAGAATGTGACCAACGATGAGGTAATACCTTCAATAGCTAGAGATTGAAGTTAGTTTCTGAAGACTTCATTAATTAGAGATTGAAGTTAGTTGCTGAAGACTCTGTTCCATGTACAGACTAGTTATGAAATTAGATGTCAGTTGGGATTTGAACTTCCTTGAATTAATCATCGCTTGGCTTTTCACCTTTTCCATGCATATGTGTATGTATATTGGCTGGCGGTTAGGAAAATGATCTTTTTCTTGTCTTTGGTATGTAAGATTAATGGTTTGATCCCTTCTCATGTTCAAACAGGTATATCGTGAGACAGTAGAGCCAATCATTCCCATAGTTTTCCAGCGAACAAAAGCAACATGTTTTGCATATGGTCAGACAGGTTTGTAGAGGCTCTGTTCACTCTTACTCTGTTGTCTAGCTTGTTATTATATGCCCATCTCAAAGGAAAATGTATACTTGCTGTGTCAGATATTAGGATGCATTTCTTCTGGTCCATAAGCAGTTGAATTGTCTTTGTCGATTTATGGAGTACCTGAAAGCAAGTTGTGTGCTACTTAGTTTCACTATGTCCAGTCCATGTATGAGCTTGAATGCCATTTATTAATTATTTAGTGCATCTCAATGTTTTGGGTAATGAGTGAGATTCATTCTGGTTTGAAGGTTTCTTTAGTTTCACTTGGGTAATATGTACTAGGCTCTATTTGTTTCAGTGGAAATTATTTTTAAGAAAATTTGTCACGAGAAAGACAAATATTACAACAGGTATTAAGGAGATATTTGATTCTATTTGTCCAGCTAACTGTGGTGATGTGATCAAATCTCTTGCTATTTCGTGAGAAATCCTTGTTCAAGATAATTGGAACCTCTAGAACAAACTCTCTTAGAAATTTGCAGGAGTTATTTTTCTTTTGGAATGAAGGGAATGCATGAGCACATCAATGATAGCAATAATGTAGCCATATATTGTAACTAATTGAGTATCATCATTAATATTTATGCATAAAGATGGACAAGAATCAACGGCAAAATTTGCAAATGATGATATAACGTTTACTATAATCAGTGAAGGGTTTTTCCCCCCCCTCGTCTTTCTTAACTTTTTTGAGTATGAAATACAGGGAGAAGAATTTGTGGCCCTAGATTTATTTGGTTGCAGACATTTGTGTACTGGCAAAATTAAGGCGATGTATTTAAGTTTTTCTTGTAAAATGATCGTCTATGTTCCCCTTGCGTCTATTTGATTGCTATTTCTGCTGCTAGTTCTTGATATTTTGCTGATTCCAAACTGTCATGTGGATAATTGATATGCTACTACTTTATAATTTCAGGAAGTGGTAAGACGTTCACAATGCAACCATTACCTCTCAGAGCTGCAGAAGATCTCGTCAAATTATTGCACCATCCAACCTACCGCAATCAGAAATTTAAGTTGTGGCTTAGCTTTTTTGAGATATATGGAGGAAAACTCTTTGATCTTCTTAGTGACAGGAAGTTAGTATTTTTATTGATTTTGTCTCTTGTCTTTTCCCTATATTTCTTTTCCTTCTTCTTGTTTTGATGTTTGTATTTGATTGAAAAGAACAGCTGTGGGAAGTTTTATGAAGTTTGGTGCACTATATCACATTTGAAAAGAATTTCTAGGCAGTTTGATTTCTCTGTTCTACTGTTTCAGTCTTTCTTCCGCCGGGTGAAAAAAGAAAAATTGGTATATTTTTTGAAAAGTTGAGGGTGTTTTGGTGGGTGGCTGGGATTAAATTTTGGTGTTCCTGTGAGAAGGGTCCAATACCATGAACAAATGCGTAGCGGGAGTGTGGGGTAAATAGCAATATATCACTAAGATTATGTTCTTTTGGTCACTTTTAGCATTTTATGCTTTTTGTCTAACTAAGGCCTCGTTTGGCAAGAGGCTATTTTAGCCAATTAGCCAAAAAGTTACTAAATTAGCCAAAAAGCCAACAACCCATACCAAAAAGTTAAAGATTCTCTTTTCTCTCTACTTTTTGCACATCTTTTCGTAATTAGCCAAAAAGTCATCCCAAACATACAAGTTTTTTTTACCTACTTTTTTAGCCAAATAGCCAAAAAGTTACTAAATTAGCCTGTTCCCAAACGAATTTTAAAGATATCCTTGTAATTAAAAGATGAGTGCAAGTTCGCCTATGTATAGATGTAACTTACTGAATTTTTTGTATGAGACTTGGGAGTGCTTTGACTGGATGATGATTGGTTATGCTCCCAATTATCTCGTGTGGTTGGCTACGAGTGTTTAATGTCCCATGTGTTTCTATTTGTAAATATGTTTTGCCATCACATATTTATGTGAGAGCTAGTTAATGAATTAATTAGTCTGTATGTCTAAATGCTTGATGGGTTTACTACTGTAATATTAACTTCTTCAATGGTTCATATATAGGAAACTTTGTATGAGGGAAGATGGACGGCAACAAGTTTGCATTGTTGGACTGCAAGAATTCGAAGTTTCAGATGTACAAATTGTTAAAGAATATATAGAGAGGGGAAATGCATCAAGAAGTACGGGCTCTACTGGTGCTAACGAGGAATCTTCAAGGTCACATGCTATATTACAACTGGTTGTTAAGAAGCACAACGAAATCAAAGACTCCAAGCGGAATTATGACGGAAACGAGTCCAAGAGTGGGAAGGTTGTGGGGAAGATTTCTTTCATTGATCTTGCTGGTAGTGAAAGAGGAGCTGACACAACTGATAATGACCGACAAACAAGGTCATATTTCTAAAAATATGCGTACCTTTCAGAGATGTACATTTATTTGTCTCTTTCCCATTGGAATTGTTTGGCTTGTAATTGCACATCTTAAATTGTTTTGTGCCTGCAATGTTCATCAAATTTCAAGTGGCTGCTGCCCTGAAATTCTTGCCAATAGAGTATGTGAAAGTCTGTGGAAGAGATGGTTAACTGACCATTTTCCAAAGATGGTCATCCAATCATATGGTGGATGATTTGTATATATTATTATTCTTTTTGTTTATTGCAGGATTGAGGGAGCTGAAATTAACAAGAGTCTTTTGGCTCTTAAGGAGTGTATTCGCGCTCTCGACAACGACCAAATTCATATTCCATTTCGTGGGAGCAAACTCACTGAAGTGCTTCGTGACTCATTTGTTGGCAACTCAAGGACTGTGATGATCTCTTGCATTTCTCCAAATGCAGGCTCATGTGAACATACACTCAATACATTGAGATATGCTGATAGGTATCTCATTTTTATTACAATTTTCAACAAATATATTACCCAACAGTTTTGCATGCTACTATCTACTATTTTTCTGCTAAAAGATGATTATCAAATCAACAGGGTTAAAAGTCTTTCAAAAAGTGGAAATCCGAAAAAGGATCAAGTTGCAAGCCTGTTACCGCCCCCCAACAAGGAATCTATTTCGGCATCATCTTTTCCTGTTTCTGCTGATGTGGAGGATGTTTATGAGCAGCATCAAGAAGTTAAAGTAGTTGATACAGGTGGTAGAAGGGTTGTAGAAAAAGAAAACCCGTCTTATAATCCTTCCGAATCCAATAAACAGCCTTCTACTTTTCCGTCAAATTATCCCTTCGGTGAGCGTGAGGATGGTGGGGTGACTTTTGGCACTGTAGAAAGAGAGAGGGTTGATAAACAAAATTTTGGTGGTTTGACAAGTCAAAAAATGCATTCATCATCGTATTTGCAAAACTCAGTCGACACAGAAGAAAGAGTGCAGAAGGTGTCGCCGCCTCGAAGAAAAGCTCATAGGGATGAAAAATCCGAAAAGCCAGGGAATTGGCTGAAAAAAGATGGCTGTGGATCTGATCCTTCTGCCACAAGTTACAAGCAACAGAGCACAAGCAATTTTACTAGTAGCAATGTAGGGTCTAGACAAAATGAGCCTGAACCTCCTCCTCCTGATAGGAATATCAATGAAATACTTGAGGTTGGTTATACTGTGCACTGTTTGTCTGCTGTTTTATTACATTGCAGGCTTTTACAATGTGGCTTAAATTGGTTTTATCCTGTTTTGGCTATTTAGGAAGAAGAGGCCCTGATTGCTGCGCATAGAAAAGAAATTGAAGATACAATGGAGATTGTTCGTGAAGTAAGTGGAGTTTCTATCTTTCCTCCTCCACAGTTGTTACATAATACATTTTTCAATTACATTAAAGTCAAATTTGATGTGCACTTGTCTAAGTTGAGTTATATACGGGTTTATCAGTATTATGCAATGGAGATTAACGATATGTTTCTTTGCTAAATCAGTTTAAGGGAATCTTCTTTGTCTCTTATAGGGTGCCCAATCGTATCCCAATTATTGCCCCTTGTGCTATACAAATTTCATTGGACTATTTTTACATTGGATTCTTCAAATAAATCAAATACTCACCCGACACTTGCACAAGAGTGTAGGATATGTGTCCAATACTTTTTATTTTCTTATATGTTTGTATTTAACACTATCATTATATGTATATATTTTTGTATAATTACTATAAAATGAGAAAATATCTTTTTGACATTGTATGTTACATGTATCACTATTTTATGATAGATTAAAAATATAAAGATATGACCATTTTTTGCCGATTTTGCTTACCCTTAAAATTGAGGTTTGATGGGTGCAATCTCTACATACATACATGGACACCCGTATCCGAGTCCATGTAACATAATCGATGATAATGTCCTAAGTTTTAGGTCCACTACTGAAGTAGGATAGGTTTTGCAATTTTTCATGACATTTTTTAGGTTATATCTCTTTCTTTTTTGGTAATTATCATTAAGAAATTTCTTGCATTGCATTTTCCTGTTATTTTCGAAGAGTTGATTTATCATTTTTTTTTTTGGAGCTTGAAACCTTGATTTGCATCTGGAAGACATGTTTTTTGTTTTTTTAACTGTAAATTTAAGTGCTTCTAGCCGAATGTCTTTATTACCTCTTACAAAATTAATCAAGAATAGGTAAAAATGTAGGAAGCAGAAGTATCTGGCAGTTATATAACCCTGTTTGGATTCTGGATTCCAGGAAATGAAGCTGTTGGCAGAAGTGGAACAACCTGGTAGTTTCATCGACAATTATGTTACTCAGTTGAATTTTGTGCTCTCGCGCAAAGCAGCGGGTCTTGTTAGTCTTCAAGCTCGCCTTGCCCGGTTCCAACATCGACTTAAAGAGCAAGAGATACTGAGTCGGAAGAGAATACCTCGTTGAGGCATTTCTTCCCATCCAACAGCGATTCATTTTCTCTTGCCATTGTGATCCCTTATTTCTTGTGAATCTCTTAAATGTTATTCATGGTGGTGCAGATACAAACCAGGAAGCCATGTGTAGGTCAATTGAGGAGGAACATGGAACTGCAGAAATCCAACCACATCTGAGGGGTACCTGTGGTTCAAATCATGGCGGTTATAAATGTAAGGTTTTGGATGTGTTTGATGTGTTCTTAACGGGTTTGTGGACTTTGGACAATTGATGGTGGCTGTGGAATGAATGATATCAGAAGGACATTTTCGTTTCAGAAAAAAGAAGAAAAATAAGATAGTGAATAGGTACCATCAATTTTTATGACTTCAATGTATTTCAATTGTACTTAAAAAACTGCATTTGTTTCTATGTCAAAACCCTTTTGTGACTTGTTTGGCAAACAATTTTTTCATGTCTCAATTAACGGGTATCTTAATGTTATTTTTACCCAACTGGTTGGCACTAGAGCTCTTCTTCAGTGCTAGTAGTTTTTGCCGAGAAGGGTAACTATTTATTGTAGTTTGTTTGTGGGGCAATGGGCATGAAGATTTCCGAACACGTTTGCTTTTGCATTTTCTCACAACAGGGTAACTATTTATTGTAGTTTGTTTGTGGGGCAATGGGCATGAAGATTTCCGAACACGTTTGCTTTTGCATTTTCTCACAACAGTAAAACCGTTGCAACGATGGTGCTGTCCAGTGGTCATGGGAATGGTGATCGGATAAGATTTCCCCCTCACAAGAACAGTAGAACCCTCACAATGATGGTGCTGTTGCTGCACGGTGGTCATTAGAATGGGACATGGTGCTGTTTCTGTACGGTGGTCGTTAGTACGGGACGGGGCAGGAGATAGTTCACAGTGCCTTGTCCTGCTCTGAATCATATTGGAGCAAATTCAGAGGTAGTGGGGGTGGGGTGCAGGAATGGGGCAAATTAATTTTATGACTACAGAATAGTAATATTAATAAAAATAAGAGATGACATGATGTTACATATAATCATTGATAAGCGATATGAGAAAATATGATTATATATAATTAGGGAAGAGGGTAGAGGCGGGGTAGAATGGGTCAAGAGATGCATGCTTGTCATTACAATTGCAATACTATAAAACAGTAACTTCTGTTTGGATCTTGAATTTGTGAAAACAACTTAAATCACCAGTATGAAGCCAAAGTAACAAAATAAAAAAGAAAAATGAATTGTTTAAAGAACCCTAATTCCAAACTCAGACCTACAAAAAGATAAATTTCACAAAACTCATGTGGTTTGATAAGCTACAAACAAATTGCCTGTCCTACCTTGTACAGATTCCCTTGTGCCTTTTAACATGGTTTCCCGGACAAAATCATCTTTACCATTTTGTCCATGAAACGAGCCAACTCCTAACCATAACCTCGACACTGCCTTCACACCAGAAGCTTTGATTGAAGCAAACAGATCCTCCATAAACACATGCCCAACAACTTCACTGCCATCAAACTTCCAATGCAGATCCATTTTCTGCCAATGTAGAAGGGAGATGACAACAATGCATCAAATTCCAAATAATCAAATTCATATCATCACTCGGCTTTCAGTCTTAAAATCTCCTTGGCAGTCCGTAGGCGAAAATATGGCATATGTTCCTGCAAGGAAGAAGAAAAAAACATGTTTAAGTCATACATTATTTGGGTGTTTATTACATGTACAATCCGAGTAGGATCAATACAACAGAGTCCAATGAAAGTTATATTTACTATAGTGAGCGTGGAGGACAATGCAACTCCATTTTATTTACTCGAGTACAAATCCATCATCAAAACCAGTAAGGATGGTGTTTTGGGGATGATGTTGAGACAAATCTAGAAATGATCCAAATGCAAATGAAAACTCACAAAAATATTACACATTTGATTAATGGAGAAGAAAGTGGGAGACAAGAAGTCCAAACAAAACAAACCACATGAAAAAGGAAAATCTAATCAGGGTAACAAACTACAAGTCAAACATGGACCTCCAATCCCTAGAAATCAAAAATAAAGGAATCCTCCTTAAATGGAGAGGAAACTGTAAACCAAAATGAGGATAAGAAACAGCCTCTGTTCGGAATGTCCATGCTTAATAGTTGTAGAAAAGGAAATAGTCTTTTCTAAAAATCAACTACCCAGATGCTCTATGCATCAGCACTAGAGACGTCGATAGACCCATTAAAATCAAGCCAAATTAAGATTAGGAAAACAATTCAACATGAAAGAAATGATACAAACACATGCGCGCACACACAAGTTGCCAGAACGTTTCCTGTGGTTTTACCTGGTTGAAGCAGAGTCCTAAACCCCTGCTATAAAAGTCAGCATACTTGATCATGAACATGCCGCAATCCCACCTATCCAGAGAAAGAATATCAGCCATTTCAGTACTTAGAAACAAATGAACAGTTTGAGGATACCCACCCAAAAAAACAGTTTGAGGCACCACCAACAAAAAACACAACGAAGTCAGATAAGATGGTTCAGCACCAAAGGCAAATGACCACCCAATCAAGGATTGCTCCAAGAAACCACAATGCCAAGGCAAAGGCCCTGTTTGGTGGTGCTTTTTTTAAGCTAAAAGCTAATAATCATAAAGCAAAAGCTAAAAGCACCCTTTCCCCAGCTTTCAAATAATTAGTTTTTTCAGCTTATTTAAGCTGTTTCTGCCTAATAAGCTATAAGTTGAAGCTGCACCAAACAGTCTGGCATATACTCCCAAATTAAAATAAGCTATAATCAACTCCTAAAAGCTGTAACAAACAGCCCCAAAAGCAGAAATTGAATGTGAATTACGGACATATGAAGACAAGATAGCCTATATAATTGACAGGAATTATGCCCACAGAATGGAAAACAAGTAATTGTGCGCTTAAACCCTAATTTTTGCAGTAATTTTTCTTAGGTCAGTTTTAGAAACCATTCATCAGATCTAATGAAGTCCTCACATACAAAAACACAAATTTTATTCTTCTGCAATTTTCTTTTTTTTTTTCGGTAAGAGTTTCTGGAATTTCCCCAGACAACATGAAGAAATATTTGCATCCTCTTGAGATAAAGTACATTTCCTATCAATGATAAGTAGACACAAGTTAAAGTTAAGTAACTTCTCAAAACTTCCCTTTTAACCAATTCCTGTGCAAAGCGGTGTCGTTCGCCATCCAATGAATCAATATAACCAAATAGCTGAAAACTACTTTCTGCATACAACCATAAATAACCAACTAAAAATTTGACATCAGCTTAAACACAGGTACATCTTCTCTCCTTTTTTTTTTTCAGTTCTCCCCCACCCCCTTTTGTTTATGAAAATATATGCTTCTAGTGAGAATCATAAACCATTTCATCATAATACTACCACAATTTCCATCACAGACGTCCATTTTGGCTAACCTACAACTTTTCATGCGATGCAAATTTGAAAGGTAAAATAAATAAATAAAAATTGAAAAGCATACACACCCATTTTCCTGTTCAGGAAGGTCCTCAACAAATTCTTGCTTCCACGAACTAAGATCAATGTCTTCTCCACTCTTGTCCTTCACCTCATCCACAAAGTACCTAGCCTGGCATAAAAATAACAAACATTCTAAACATGCATCACAGACAGCAACAGAGCCACATAAATTGACATATTTTAGGAGGAAAAGACTAAATGAAAAAATTCTAAATTTAAAGAACTTTTCCTGCCCTCTCGCAACTATTTCAAAGTTTCCCACTGCAGAGGCATTGAAGCACAAGAAGCAAAAAAGCAAAGTGCAAAGATCAATCATCTAAATCGTGTTTATGCATCAGCTAAGAAGCGTGGACACAGATACGAGACGATATGGATGAACATGCCAACATGGCAATTTAAAAAAACTAGGACATGACATGACAACAAATACATATATATTTTTATATGTATGCATGAAAATAATAACTTGCTTTTAAGAAGCACAGACACATGTACAATATGATACCATCGACACAACACCACAACAATTTTCAAAAAACGAGGAAATGGCAAAACAGAGACAAGGCAACAAATACATGTAAATACATGAAAATAATAACTACTTTTTCAATTTTATATTACAAATGCAAGGCATAAATCGACAAAAACTCAACTTAACCATTAAGAACATAACACCCTAGGCAGCTTCTTCACAAACATGTGTTGGCCTGGGTTCTTGGTAGTTGCCTTTTGTTTCTGTAACATAAAAGGCAGAAAAAAGACACACTGACCAACAGAAAGGTGGATGTCTGAGAGAAATTGCAGGATTTTCAAAGGCTCAAAATCCACTGAGGTGGCTGTGCAAGCTAAAATTAGAAGCCTTGTGAGAAACAGGATCTTGTCCCTCTCAAGTTTCAAAGAGGAGCTGACAAATGCTTGGTTTATGGTGAAGTGGTCCCTCCCAAACTCTGTCCTGAAATCAGGTCATCAAGGTTAGCTTGGGGTGGTCTGGTTTTATTTGAGTTGTTTCTGACTGGGTGTTAATTGCAGGTCTCTTTGGTTAGAGTGCCGGTCCTTTATTAGGGATGTGAGTTGAGTGTGTGAGGTTCTCCATATGATTGAGTGAGATTGTGAGTTTGTGGGTTGAGTGGCTGCAGCAAATTAATCTTTATCTCACAGTTTGTTGTGCAGGTTTTTAGCTGGCCCTTGTTGTGTAGGGAAGTTGGGTTGAGTGTTGGTGAGTTCCTATATTAGGATTGTGTGTGAGGAGGGTTTTATGTGCTATTGTGGGTTGAGTGTGGTGAGAACCAATAATTTTCTAATTATTTTTGGTGCAGGTACTCAGCTGGTCTATCTTAGGGGAGTTATTCTCTGTGGGTTGAGTGATTGAGGCATATATTGTTGAATAGTTTTTGTGTTGTGTCTTATACATTATAGTTAACTGCTGTGTGTAGTGTTTGAGTGTTCTTGAGTGTTAAGTTAAGGCTAGCAGTATCATGTGAGCTTCAGTTAACTATTGTTGAATTGTCATACTGATTTGATGATTGCTTGACTCTTTTAGGATCATTTGTCTGAATGATGGCCTTGAGCAAGTAGCCCAGTTTGGTAGATATTGTCCCAATTTGTTGAATGTTAGCTTATGGGTGCTGCTGCTATTGTTTTTTCTATTGTTTTTGGAGTTGTGGCCTGCTGCTATGGTGTGGACTGCTGCTTTGTTGTGGCCTGCTGCTACCATGGGTGCAGCTGCTGCTATGTTGTTTGTTCTACAATCTGAAATTTTAATATATTAGCTTATTTATGATAGGCTCTATTGGTTATTTTGTAATCCCAGGTCCTGTTTTGGCTTTGTACATGGCCTTTTTGTGTGTGCTGGTTTTCTTTTGAGTTTGTTTTGGGATCTGATTTGTGGTCCAGCTATCTCTTGGCATTTCCTTTGGGGTAGTTTTGTGTTGGCCCTGTTCTTGCCCCTCATTTGCTCTTGTTGTTCATGTGGTGTTTGAACAGGTTTTTTGTCTTCTTGTTGCTTTACTTTGTTGTTGTCTGTATCTTGTATAGTTGGTTAGCTCCTTTGTACATGGCCTTTTTGTGTGTGTTGGTTTTCTTTTGAGTTTGTTTTGGGATCTGATTTGTGGTCCAGCCATCTCTTGGCATTTCCTTTGGGGTAGTTTTGTGTTGGCCCTGTTCTTGCCCCTCATTTGCTCTTGTTGTTCATGTGGTGTTTGAACAGGTTTTTTGTCTTCTTGTTGCTTTACTTTGTTGTTGTCTGTATCTTGTATAGTTGGTTAGCTCCTGAGGTATGCCTCTTGTAGTTTGTATTTATTTGTCTTTTTTAATTTATGACTTATTTACCCAAAAAAAAAAAGAAGGTGGATTGTCAAAAAAACGTAGGAAAACAAAACAAGAGAAATGCACACTAATTTTTTAGACTCATTTCTTGCATGCCAACACAAATTCATACCAGAACTTTCAGCACTCGAGTATCAATTCCTCTGAGCGAATCAAGATACTGGAACTTCTCATCCTTCTTGTTTATAACTGCTAAGCACCAGTGAACTTCTTTGTGGATAGGAACAAATATCTGAGTAGGTTAGCAAAATTAATACATAGATAAACAAACAATTGAACGCAACAAAACAAATTAGTAGTGAATGAAAATAATAAATGGAATGCAACTTACTTTATCACACTCAAGAAGACAATATCCCAATTTCCTTTGAGTAGTCCATCTTCTGACTGATTTAAAATCATAGCCATTCCTCCCACTGATTAACTGGATATTACATTCAGAATAGGGAAAAAAAAAAAGGTTCAGGATACCACGCCTACTGAACTTGGATACTATAAAATGATTTCCCAACAAAACATGTATAAATAAACAGACAAACAAATTTTTGAGATAAATGTACGCGGTGTGGTTCGGGCGGTTTGAAAGTAAAATTACAAACTAAATGGCGGGTTGACGGATTAGCTAATTAACAAATTGCGGTTTGAGCGGTTTTTGGCGGATTGGCAAACTGAAGAATATTCTAACTAATTATCATACATTTGTATAATATATAACACTAATTTGTATAATATTTTTTAGATATATAACACAGAGTAATATTACATAATATGTTTCATATATATAACCATTAATTTGTAACAAATTTCATATCTTAAATCTCTCTCTCTTTTTTACATTGATATTTCATTGGAGGTTAAAAAATATATATATATTAACTATAACGGAGCGGAACGGTTCGATTAGCAGATTATAAATTTTATAATTTAAATCGCGGTTAGTGGTTAGAGCGGTGCGGATCGGTGCAATTTTGGCGGATAGGGTAGTATTTTGCATAGCCCTAAATGAGAGTAGCACAGGCCTAGAACTTCGAGGATGCATTTAATGGCAATAAAAAGCAACGAATGTGTCATTCTTTGCTAATTTGAAAGATAATATTAACAGCAAAAAGCTTGCTAGATGTGCAAGGAGCTGTAGGATTGGGCATGAAAAATCAACACCAATCATACAGTGGGTGCTTACTATTTCAAATCATTATACTATAAACCATCATATTGGTTTAGTACTTTCAGATTTTCAATTTGACCTGGCATCATAGACGTAGAACAAAATGATAGAGGATAGTGCTAAGGGAAAAGAAAGAATGAAATTAATGCAAAGAGATGGTAATAAAAAAACAAGAAGCATGTGATTTAATTTAAGTTATGGCCCATGACAAAGCATTAGATGGGCACAAAACCATTAATGAATCTATTGATTATTGTTGTCGAAACACGTATCTTTTCAGCTATCAATGTTTTGAATTTCATGTACTGTGTATCATATCATCATGTGCATGGTAAGATTAGACTCGCTTTCCAAAAACATAAATAATATATATATATAATAAAATAACTAATTCCAAGAAAATCATAATGATGGTGTAACTGAAATCATTTGGTGCCTTCAATGGATCTCTACACTTATTACATGTGCAGATACTATTAAGTATAGTTATAGACTTCTTACTTCTCCAATGATTCACACAAAACAAATGTCGAAGAAAAGACAAGTAGATAAAAAATAAGTGTATTATAAGCTACACAAGTTCATCTATTTAAAAAATAAGCAACAAAAATTCATCTATTTAACTGTATTGCTCACGTATAATATCATGCTATACAATGAGTGATCTTTCAATACTTAGTACCTATTGTAGGCTCCATATCATGTTATGCATAATGTTTATATCAATTATGTGAAGTACAAAACAATCAAGATATGAACCTAAAGGCAATCCATATCGTTTATACATAAACATGCTTCTTAGGTAATTATTGGGTATAATTAAATAGTAACAACTATGCTGGTGAAAAAACCTACTTAGATAGATGTACAACTTACCACCTTGAAAATACGACCGTAAAAGGAAAGTAAAAAAATATAGAATCACATTAATGGAAGCTTTTAGAGTAACCAGTTGTTAAAAGGGTATTAAAATAGGAAGGTACTACGTTCAAACCACAACACCTTTACGATAAAATAAAACATATATCACATTCATGCACACCACCTCATTCAACTGGGGCCACAATACACGGAATATCGAAATGAAAAAACGATTTACATTGTTTTAAAATCTTTTGCTTTTAAAATAATTGGTTGATAACAAGAACAATAAAAAGCTGAAAGGAGAAATGATGTCATAAGGTGAAGGGATCAATGAAAAAAGTTCGATAGTTATGGACTTAACACATAGTCCTAAATGAAATATATTATGCCAACTTAGTCTAAAAAGGTAGGTAACAGAACACCAACCTTCTTGTAAAAGAATGTGTTGAAGAAATGACACTTCAAAAACTTTTTGGGCTCCCTCTTTTCCCTTTCTTTTAGTAATTCAAGATACATATTTATGACCTACAAGAGAAACAAGCCATTCCTGTCAAAGAACTACATTACAAGGTTACATCACTGACATTTATCATGTTCTTAGACAGTTAATGCCAAAAAAATAAACAAACAAACAAACACACACACACACACACACACATGCATAACACAAAGAATCACCTCATCATTCAACCATGCCCCTGGTCTCAAACATTGCAAAACCTCTCCAGTGATCTCAATATTAGAGATCTCATGAGCAACCAAAACCTTCCTCCTGCAAAAGCGAAACCCAAAAAGATTAAAATGCAAATAGAGACCCCTTCTTCAAAAGCTAATGGCATACACATCAAAACCATACCGACTGGAATGAGATAATGCTCGAGAAACCTCAGCCTCTTCTTCCTTCGTGAGAGGCACAAAAGCTTCGCGAAGCACGTCTTGAAGTACGTCCTGCAACCAATCAACATGGCATAAAGAAATAAATACTAAATACAATAATGCATCACTACCAAAAATAGAAGCAGTAACGACATTTTACCTCCTCCACTGGCTTCTTCACGGGGCGAAGTAGCTGAAGTGAAGCACGGCGCTTCTCATTTACTTCAATTTGAAAACTCAAGCTGCTCAGCTTAGGGTTCCGCCTCTCTGCAGTCTCCCACAACTTTTTGTGCACTGGCAAACCCGAAACATCTACTTCCCGATTCAGCGAAAGCGAGTCCAACATCTTCCCCGCCGTTTCCACTTTCAAATTCGCATTCGCCGCCAATTCAGTAACCACCGAAGATGAAGAGGGCTGAAAATTAACCTCCACAACCTTCCCATCCAATTCAGGCAAAATGGGCACAACCCTATTAACCACTGACTTGCATTCACGCCCATCTTCTACAGCTCCAGCCTCCTCAATACTCGAATCCTCAGAAACACCATCTTTATCGGTCTCTTCATCAACATCAATCACTTCCTTATCCTTTTTCAGATACCGAAGAGTCTCGAAAGCGCAATTCTTTGCCTGATCGTATCGAAAACTCAGAGCATTCCCCATTAAATCAGCTAAACCCTCTTTCTTCACAACCCCATTACAACTCGGCCTCGACTCTCGATTCGAACTAGAACTAAACCAAAACCCTAATCTGGAGGCTCTACAAGGAGCATGGACTTTCCTCTGAAACGGATTAACTGGTTCGGGGTATCGGTATATCCTGGAAGCCGCACTTTTCGAGTTGGAAACAGACCATTCGGGACTCAGATTCATATACGATGAGATCTTGGGCTTCTTCGAGATGTGAGAATCGATTCGAGTATCGAAATTGGGAGGAAATAAAGATGGGAATTTGTAATTCGTGAAGTAATCGTCACCGCGCTTTCGATTGCTCGTTAGGGCACCCATTGATTCCACTCAAATTTAGCAAAACCCTAGAAGGAAAAAACAACAACACTGCCACATCTAAACATTGCTATCTTCAACAAACATGGGATTTACAGATTAAACCCCCCCAAAAAAACCCTAGATTTTTTGGGAAATTTGGCAGCGCGAAAAGGGACGAAAACTTGATGTTGAGATCTTTGAAAAGCTTTTTGAATTGCTCAAATTGAGCTACAGATTGAGAGAAGAACAGAAATGCAAACACTTTCGAAACCAATCTCCATCATCGATTTTGGACTTGAGAGTTGTCACGGTTGATTTTGAGTGTTCTTTAATTTTTCATTCTTAATGGAAACATTTTATAACAACGAGCTGGCTAAAAATTTTGAACAATGACGCATCATTTTAATTTTAGAATTTTAATTGAGTTTTAATGATATGGTAGGTAATAAAAAATAAAAAAAAGTATAAGATCAAAATATCACATTACAGTGAGATGTATTTATATTAGAACTCATTAAAGTTCCTTTATTTGCGTTACCAATTATTTTTGAAAATTTTTATGAATTATAATTAAAGTAATATTATAATTAAAAAAAATTAATTATAATTATATAAAAAAATATGAAATTAGAAATATATATAATTGAGAGGGAGATTTCATAATCTGGCTTTGGCCCGTGGTAATGGCCGGGCTGAAAGTGGTCTGAGCATGTTTGGGGCGAGCTAGGCCGGACTGGGCGGGGCCGTTCCAGGGAGAGTTTGTTCGGTTGAAGTCCAGACCCGATTTGGCCGAGATGATTCTCTGCCAGCCTGGTTTTTATTGTTCGCTCATTTAGTTTGGCGAGTAAGATCCTCCGCAGACCGGCCCAACCGAGTAGGAGCTCAGTTATAACGGAGGGCTACTAAGCTCGGTCATAATGGAGCTTGGCTAGCAGCACTGTATGTCTCGGAAAGTAATACGGTCGTAGGAGGCTGGGGTAGCGCCGCCGGACTGCCCGTTCGCGCAAACGCCGTTTGGCAGTTTGATTAGGTGGTGGTATATAAGCATGACTGCGCCCTCCTTGCTGGGCATGGAAAATCAATTGGTGAGAGAAATTCTAGCGCTCAACCTGCTCCTCTCTCCTTCTCTCTTTCTCTGAGTGTGTGCTAACTTGACCGTTGGAGGGGTTTTCCGGCAACACACCGCCGGGTAGCTCACCGTCGCTGTATTTGCAGGTCAATCGGATAGAAACAGAGCTTGGACACAAGGAGTACGGACAGCGACGAATATTTTCTCCTCGTACAATTGGCGCCGCCTGTGGGAAACTTTGCAGACACAACCTTGTCCTCCAAGCTCATCGAATCGCCTTCCATGGCAAACAACGACCGTTGTCTGCCATTGACGGTGTTACCCCGGAGTCAGCCAAACGGAGGGATGGACTCCCCGCCGTTCCAAACATGGCGGACCTGGAGACTTCCCAATGAGGACTTCCAAGAGATGCACGAGATAAGCGCACCAGAAGCTTTGGTCACTCATGGAGCCTAAACGGACACCGACGGCAAAGAGAGTCGCACGCTCGACGCCTGGAGCACAAGTTATGGGACCAAGACGCCGTCATCCAGAGAATGACGGCAAAGATAGAAGCTCTCAAACGGCAGGTCAAAGGGAAGGGTGTTGCTGGAGTGGGAGACCACAGTGAGCGCACCCAACCCCGCTGCTCAGGCAGCCAAAACCAGCGGCACATGCTCTCCCTTTCCATCACCAGAAACTATGGGGTGGGAGACTCAGACCCGCCTGTAGAGAAGTCTAGCACGCAAGATAGTAGCTACCATCCCTCACGTCCGCTAGTGACGTTGAGATATTCCTACTCTGCTCGTTCGGTGGACTTGAGGGACGTCTTGAAGGAATGAACTCGCCGACGGGAGGTTCAAAGGGTGCCGACGCTATAGCGGTTATCTTACAGAGGTTACGCCAGTGAGGAAGTCATAATGCCACCACCCCGTTCAGCCGTGTCCCTTTGGATAAAGATTTGGCGAGGCTGAGCGCCACCCCTTTCTCCCTTGAGATAGAGACCACACTGCTCCCAGCGAGCTTTCACCAGCCCAAGTTTACGCTTTATGATGAGCAAACCGATCCGTACATGCGTGTAAGCCATTTCCGGCAGGTCATGGCTGGACACAGGCGTAATGATGCTCTCGTGTACCTTATTTTCCCATCGAGTTTGTGCAAGTTAGGCTTGAAATGGTTTGAGAGGCTTCCGGAGGAAAGCATCGAAAGGTGGCAGCAGTTGGCGGAAGCATTCGTGACTTGATTCAAAACCAACACCAAAACGCCAAAAGAAGTGGACCACCCCCTGAGCGTCAAGATGAAGTCGAGTGACTCCCTCAAAGCATGCAACGCTAGGTATTGGGAATCCTTCAATGAGATCCTAGATTGCCCGACCAACCTGGCAATCACCCAATATAAGCGCGGCCTCCCGATCGGACATAGACTGAGGGACTCGTTCACGATGAACTAACCGACTTCCATGGGGCAGCTGATGCAACGCACCAATGAGCACATCCAAGTAGAGGATGATGCGGCGGCGTCCACTGTGAAGACAAATCCGGTGGCAACAGACAAAATGGTGGCTAAAAAAATATACGCGGTCGAACAGGAGACAAACCGTCCAAGTGACCGCGCAAGGGAATCCGACTGTGGTCCGGATCGTAGAAACCGGGGTAAAGGTCGCCGCAATGACAGAGCAGAATATCCCTGTGATGACGCAGCAGATACAAACAGAAAGTTGAATGCTCAGACGTGCATCACTACGATTTTTAAAATTCTAATCTACCGCATACTTAGTGAAATCCGCGACGAGGTTTCCGTCCGATTTCCCGCTAAGTTAGGCGATGCGCAAAAAGGCTTCAATCTGCGGTACCGCTGCACATTTCATAGGGAGCGAGGGCACCGGACGGAGGACTGTTTGCCCTTGAAGCAACACTTGGAGGAGTTAGTCGTAGCCACTCACTTGGACCGTTACATCGATGGGGGCGTTAGGGCCACGCACCACACACCGGTTGAGCCAAGTGGTTCGGATGACCTAGAGGCACCCCCCCAAGGAGTGGTCAATGTGATCCACAGTAGAGTAGAGCCGGCGCGGGTATGCGAGCTCCGAGGGATGATAAAAAAGGCAGAACATATGAGAGGAGTTTTGTCAGTCCAGTCCACGATCAAAAGAGGCAAGACCGAGAAGAAAAATGTGATTAGCTTCTTAAGTAGGGATCTTGAGCGCATTCAAACGCCGCACAATGATGCCCAGGTGGTCACCCTTCATGTCAGGGACTTCAATGTTAAACGCATCGTGATCGACTACGGCAACTTGGTCGAGATCATGTACTACGACGCCTTCAAGCAGCTCAAACTCTAAGATATAGACTTGGCTCCAGTAACTTCGCCACTGGTTGGTTTTAACTCACAACCAGAGTAGCCAATGGAAAAGATAATCCTACTGGTCAAGGCCGAATCCGTAGTCAAGCAGGTGGAGTTCTGGGAATTGAAGGTGCCATCCACATACAATCTGATCCTTGGTAGGGGATGGTTTCACGCCATGCAGGCGGTAGCGTCAACTACCACCAAGTCATTAGGTTCCCCTCGGTTACGGGGGAAGTTGAGGAAATTTGGGACGATCAAGTCATGGCGAAGCAGTGTTTCGTGGCAGTGAATGGGAGCCGAAAAGCCAAAGGCTCTGTGCAAATGATCGAAGGTCCGGAAGACTAAAGTGTCCTAGATAATGTGTGCACTAGGGCCGAGGAAAAGGCTGTTGAAGAGTTGGTGGAGGTGTAGATTGACACAGAAAAGCTTGACAAGTTCTTTTTGCTGGGATCTAGCTTGACTGCCCAAGAAAAGACCGAAATGGTAGAGTTCTTGGTGGCGAATATCGAAGTTTTTGCATGGACACCATACGACATGCCTGGCATTGATCCAGACTTTATTTGCCACCAACTCAATGTCTTCCCGGATATGTGTCCTGTCATTCAAAGAACGAGGAGATATGTCATTCATCACGCCGAGGTAGTCGCGGAGGAAGTCAAGAACCTGCTAGAAGCTAGGGCAATCTAGGAAGTGCACTATCCTTGGTGGGTTCGAACACGTTTGTAGTACCCAAGAAAAATGGAAAGTGACGAGTTTGCGTTGATTACAAGACGGTCAACCGAGCTTGCCCTAAAGATAGCTTTCCTCTACCCCAGAATAGACCAACTAGTGGATCTTACAGCCGGACATAACCGGCTCAGTTTCTTAGATGCCTATCCCGGCTATCACCAGATCGCCATGCATGCACCCTATCGTGAGATGACCTCTTTCACGACGCCGAGGGGATTGTTCTGCTATAGAGTCATGCCTTTTGGTTTGAAGAACACCGGGGCAACTTTCCAGAGGATGGTGACTAAGACGTTCGCCCCTCTTCTAGGCTGCACGATGGAGGCTTACATCGATGACATGGTGGTCAAAAGCAAGCAGCAGGTCGACCACTTGTCCGACCTAGCCGAGATGTTCGTCATTCTTAAACAACACAAGCTTCGCCTGAATGCGTCGAAATGTGCCTTTGGTGTGGGGACAGGAAAATTTTTGGGCTTCCTAGTCACCAACCGAGGCATCGAAACGGACCCCTCACAAATCAGAGCCATACAAGAATTGAAGTAGCCCAACTCGACAAAGGACATGCAACATCTTGCCGGTATGGCAGCCGTGCTTAATCGATTCATAAGTTGGTCATCAGATCGTTGCCGCCCTTTCTTTCGAGCCTTGAAGTCCAAGTTTTCATGGGACGAAGAATGTGACAGGGCCTTGGCCGAGTTCAAGGCATATTTGTCTTTCACCCCTGTAGACACCCCATTTTTGACCGACCTTAAGACTCAGACGTCATCGATTAAGCGCTCGGTGATTACGCTTGTTGTGCTTGTTTTGAGGTTTCGGAGTTTCAGCTGAGAGCCTTACCCCCAGACCTCGGGACCCTTTTGTGTTTTGCCTCGATTTGCGAACCAGGTTCTGTTTTCTCTTCCCGAAGGGAGGAAGAGGTCTCGCAAACCATCTCTTAGTGGCCGTAGGCTACTTTTTGTGGTCATCGACCTTTGTCCCCGTTTGGAGATCAGTTTATGATTTTTCGAAGCCGTCGGCAGTGCGCCTCGGTTCGAGACCGCTTAACTTTCTCCGCTTGCTCCGGTTTTTGGCACACACCTTATTTCCTCTCTCTAGAGGGACACTGTGGCCTGGGAGACCACCTTTGTGGTCATACGCCGCTCTCGGTGCTTAACAGCCTGTTTTCGGGGCGCCCGGCCGCACGCTCGACTATGCATTGTCGGTGCTCATCTTCTCGAGTCTATTTTAGCTCGAACCTTTTGAACCCTTTTTTTTTAGGAAGCTTGACCTTTTGAACCCTTTTTTAGCTTCTTGAGGAAGCTTGAACCTTTTGACCCTTTTTAGCCTCTCCAAGAAGCTTGAACTTTTTGACCCTTTTTAGCTTCTCCAAGAAGCTTGAACTTTTTGACCCTTTTTAGCTTCTCCAAGAAGCTTGACCCATTTTTTGGCTTCTTAAAGAAGCTTGACCCTTTGCTTCAAGCTTCTAAGAGAAGCTTGAACCTTTCTTAGCTTCTTGAGGAAGCTTGACCCCTTTGCTCTAGCTTCCTCAAGAAGTTTGACCCTTTTTGCTTTAGCTTCTAAGAGAAGCTTGGCCCTTTTGCTCAAGCTTCTAAGAGAAGCTTGGACCTTTGTTCTTCTATAAGAGGGACCCTCCTCTCCACTTGCAAGGGTTGAAAATTTTTGGCTAAGGCATATACATACACCTCTCTCTATCTCTCTACATCCAAGCTCCAAAGCTCTATTGTTCTTGCACCAGTGCACTACACCTCTTATCCTAACACCTCCACCATCACTCTAAGCACCTTGGAGCTGATTTTCAGAGGTTGAAGGCTTACTATTTTGGTCCAGAAGCTGCTGGCTCTTTTGACTACAAGGGTAACTCTCATTTTCCCCCTTTTTAGCATTGTTTTGCTTCATATCTTAGCCTAGTTTGCAAGCATATTTTGGATTTGTCATAAACTGAAAAAAGTCATATTTTGAGCTCCTCTTGAAGTTTGTTTAAGGTCAGTTTTCTGTTGGGGGTCATCTACCCCCTTGCATGCTTGTTTTCACCTTATTTTGAGCCATGCATCTAGGCCTTTGAAGTGAGCTTTGTTTGGCCTTCTAGCCACTGAAATCCAGTGGATTTTCAGTGGTTAGCATACTGTTTTGAGCCCCAAAATCAGAGAGGGGTGACCCTCTCACCCCTTGTCTTATTTTCTAGCATTATTGGCCTTACAAAGGAGCCCATATTTGCACACTTCTTGAGCATGTTTCAGGCTATTATTTGTGAGTTTTATGACTTGCATGAACTCTGTCCAAAGTTGTTTTTTCCGTGTTAGTTGTCTATCTTGCATGTGTAGAGTAACCCTCTTCGTAGCCTTTCAAATGAGCCTTTACTTGCATCCTTCCTAGCCTCATTTCAGGCCATTTTCAGTGAGTTTTATGGCCTCCATAACCTCTGTCCAGAGGTGATTTTTCCATTTTTGATGTCTATCTTGCATGTGTAGAGTAACCTCTTACATAGCCTTTCAAAGGAGCACCTCATTCTAGCATGTGTTGACTGAGTTCCAGTGGGTTTTTGGTCATATTTTGACATGCCTTGTTTCTGTTTTTGGCTGGTTTGGTAGTCCTTCACATGCTTCATATAGTTGTAGTGTAAGTCATGGTTCACTAGCTTGTTTTGCATGATGTTTTGGCCGCCTTTCCTAGCATATTTTGGCCTTGCCTTAAACTGATTTTGTGCATGTTTTGGACTGCCTTAGCTCTGTTTTGGGTCTTATGGTTGAATGATGTTTGTTTTGCATGCCTGTAGTTCAATATCCATGCTTAACTTTGAGTTTTGAGGTCCATTGCATGCATATACTGAGGTGTTTTCATGTTTTAGGGCCATTGCACATCATATTTCAGACCTTATATACATGTCATATTCTCATATTTTCCACTCTTTAAATGCGTTTGAGAGTCGGGCTTGTATGCCTCATTTACCAACCATTGAATGAGCTCTATTTCTTTGCATGTTGAGCCATTATTTTAGGCCATTTTCCCACTGTGTTGGACCTGTCTAGGGTCTATTTGGGGTTGGTTTTGCCATAAGTGCATTGCTTTGTGTACCTGTAGTGTAATCCACTTCACTAGTTTCGGTATCCGGGTCATCTAGCATGCATTATGTGACATATTTGCATGATTCGAGACCATCTTTTATGCCATTTCAGAGCTGCCATATTTCATCCTTTGCTATGCTTTGTTAGAGTTGCATGTTGTGCCTTAGGATCGGTCTTTTGCATCCGTGCATGTTTGCATGTATTTCGGTTGTCTCATTTTCATCATTTGGCCACTGATTTGGGTGTGGTTGAGGCCCATTTATTTTAGTTTAAGTCCATCTTGCATTGTGTATGCCATGTCCGTATTGTCGCGTGCTTGATCGTCGCATTGTGTATACCTTGATTATGCCTTTATGTATGTCCATCTTCATATGTGTGCATTGCGTATGCCATATAGTCCTCATGTGCATTGAGTATGCCTTTGATCATTTCATAGCATTGTGTATACTAGTAGCATATTTGCATATCATTACTTGCATGTTTGCATCATTTAGTGGCATTGCATTTAGGTTGCATGTTAGAGTTGCATTCATGCATGCCATGTGTGTTGCATTGTGTTCGGAGTAGGGTTTAGTTCAAACACGGGAAACGAGGGACGTTTCGTACTCCAAGTGACGAAACGTGTCTCGATTCTCGGTCGCCGACACTCCGGATTACCTATGATGGAGTCTAGGTCTTGTTGTGTTTATATGTACATTCGTTTCACATCGAGTCGTGCAATTCGATTCCTCGGCCATCATGCATCGAAATGCGTGATAGGTGGCACGAGGATCGAGGACTACATTTCCTAGAGCTTGTGCAATGATAGGGAGAGTAGTCGTGCACACATATGTTGAAAATACTTTGCCATGCCCCTTTCTTGCTCTCTGTTGCAGCAAACCAAAAATCAACAGCCTTCTAGAGCGTTGTACAGTGTTCCGGGATCAATTGCAAATAGAGGCAAGTCGGGACATCGTGAGGAATTTTCCGACAAGGCGACTCGAGCATGCATGCATCTTTTATCATTCAGAACGAAGCTGAGGCAGTCCATTACTTGTAGTATTGCATGCTAGTTTATTCGCTTTCCTAGTTAATTTGTTAATTAATTGGGGTTTTATAATATTTAATTAGCTAGAGTAGTTAATTATTTATTCAGACTGTATTATTTATTCGGACCCTCCAAAAGAGGGCCAATTGTTGTAATAAGTGTGCGTGTGTGTGATGTATG